GCTCGGGGCAAGGGCTGGACGGCCCGCTCCTTCCCGCCTGTCCCCCACACGCACTCCTCTTGGTTGAAATCTTGTTCTCCCCTCGTGGTTCAGCACAAGTTATTCCACAACTAAAATGCTGCGGGAAGAGTCGCCACCCATCCTGCCAATAGGGGGTCACCCTAAGGGGGAGCAACTCCCCGCCCCCCCTAACCACCCTCCCCCCCCAGCAGGAGCCAGGCCCAGGCTGCCACCAATCTGCTGCCTATGCTTGGCCGTGGGGGTCTCTGGGACCTGAGATGGGTCAGCTGTGCCTCCCCCCGCCCCCCATAGAGCAGGACGGGTCTCCCTCAGGGAGCGTGTCTGCCTGAGTGACAGGGCGCAGGGCTGCAGCCCCCCCCCGCCCCATTTCTCAGGTGACCCGGCAGCGGCACTGGGCCTCTGGTTCTATGTGGGTTGAATACTGATTGCTGCCCTTTGCCTCCCAGCTCCGTGGCCCCATCACCCCCTTCCAAGCCCATGGCCACTCCTCCCTGAAGTGCGGGTCACCACAGACTTGGGTGCAGTGAGGACTAGAAGGGACCAGTGTTTCATTCATTCATTCACATGGAGGATCCGGGTCCCAGGCAGTGCTGGGCGGGGTAAGCAGCCAGGACCCCACGGCCACTGGGAGATGGAGGGGATCCGGGCGGTCAGGTGTGAGCAAGGAAGAACCAACCAAAGCCGAAGGGCAGCACTGTCTTTATTCAACCGTCTCGCACACAAATGAACCACCAGGATGTGCACCGCAGAACCAGGAAGGAGCCCGCGCCGGCTCCTGTGTGAACCACCCCCCCAGCCCCAGCTCTGCAGGGGCCCCTGGGCGAGGCGGCCGGTGGCTGCACAGGGGCCTGGTGTGGATTGGCCAGGACTGTCCACCCAGCGCCCCTCCCCACGTTAAACAGCAGGCTCAGGTCCTGGCAGCAGCCCGGGAGGTAGTGAACAGAGGTGCCTGGAGGAAGAGTGGGCCACTCTGGAAATGGGGGGGGATCTACTCTCCCTCCACACTCCTGGGGGGCTGTCCCTGGGCCGACGGGGTTCCCAAGGAGACCACAGCCGCTCCCCAGCAGCAGCCAAGGCCGAGCGGGGCGCCAGATTTTGTTGCTAAGATCCGGGGGCTGGTGGAGAGAGCGGAGAGGCTCAGGCATGCTCCGTGGGGCCAGGCCCGCTAGCGTGGGAGTGGGCAGGGGCGGCGGGCGGCAGGGGGCCAGCGCTGGGCTCTGGGGAGGCCCGCAGGGGGGCCGCGAGGCCATCGGCAGCGTCTGTGTCGAGGTCCAGCCTCCAGTACGCTTCGCACAGAGGCAGATCGTTAGCTTCGCGGAGACTGGAGCTTTTCCGCCACCAGAAGCCCAGGGAGACAGGAGCAGGCAGAGGGCAGGGAGGGAGAGCGACACAGGAGCAGAGTTAAGAAAACAGACCGGACCCACACCTGCCTCTCCCCTCTGGGTAGGCGCTCGTACAAGCAGGCCTGGCTGAGTGGGAGGCCCATGGGGACCCCCTGCGTCAGGGTCCTTCGCATCCCAAAGGGAAAGGGAGGGCTGTCCAGGACCAGCCACGCAGGTCCCTCCGCTGATCGAGCAGGTGTCTGCCCCGTCTGAGGGTCACCTGGCTGTCCTGCCCCTGCTGCCACCCCATCCTGCCGGGGCGCGGCAGCCTCACCGGTAGCGGCAGCCAGCATCCAGAGCCCATGGCTCCTGCATTTGGCCAGAATCCTGAAGACCCTGTCTTACTTCCGGGCCTGCCCTTAGCTGGGACAGAGCCTGGACGGGTGACAGGAAGAGGCCCTGGTGTTCGTCCTGTACCCCATCTCTCCAACACGCTGTGGAGGACCGGGTGGCGTGCAGGGGAAGAGCATGACTCACAGGGTATGGAGGCTGACGGCCCCTTCACCGCACCATCCTGCCCTGCCTGTGGCTGCTCCCTCCCTGCCTGTGGCTGCTGCCTTGCTCCCACCCTCAGTGCTCAGTCTCAGAAACCATCCTGATCACAGAGCAGTGTCCCAAGGACAGCAGAGGGAGAGGTAGACAGACAGCAAATCATGAGTGCAAAGCGGCTGAGCAAGCGTGGAGGTGGGCAAGCGGGGCTGCGGAGGGTGGAGGGGGCTGCGCACTGGGGGTTCAGGGGGTAAGCAGAGAGGGTACCAGCCCGCCCCTGCGGAGGGTGGAGGGGGCTGCGCACTGGGGGTTCAGGTGGGGCGCATGCCAGGGGGTAAGCAGAGAGGGTACCAGCCCGCCCTGGGTATCACAGATGAGGGAGAAACTTGGCCTCCTGAGGCCCCAGGGATGCTGGCGGGACCACCAGGCAGGCCCGGAACCCCTGGGGTGAACCACAGGCTGGCGGGCAGATGTGGGAAGCCTGGTGCTCAGGCCCTGCCCAGTGACCTGGGGCAGGTCCACTCCCCTGGGCCCTCACCCTCAAGGGGCAGGGCTGAATCGCTGCCCTGGAGCTGCTCTGGCCCTTAGGGATGCTGGGTCCGTGAAGGGACTCTGTGAAACCAGTGTGGCTGTGGGCCATGTCCCAGCGGGCTCTGAGCTCCCCCCACGGGGACCCACTCAGGACTTTTCTCTGAAGGCCGGTGTGTTAGGAGGCAACTGCCACAAGTCTGCTGAGCCGATGGGTCTCAGGGATCAGGGGCGGCCCCAGACACTCTGGAAAATTCTAGAACCACTCCAGCTGGCAGTGACATAACGTCCCTTCCCTAGAGGCCACGCTGGGCAGGACCATGCGAGTGACACTGAACCCAAGGCAGGGAACCACGCCCCAGACCACAGAGCACGCTGGCTCTGGGCATCCGTGGCCCCAGCCTGACTCACACGGGGCAGCAAGGGGCGTATAGAACCTGCCCCAGGGGGGACAGCTCTGTCTGCGAGAGCACCAGGGGCCCGGACTCCATGTCTGCGGGACCGGCTAATGAGACGGAGGAGTAAGGCCCCCCAGCCTCGGTTTCCCCGCATAAGTTGCACTTGGACTAGGATTTCTCAAAGGCCTCAGGTTTCAGGATTCTCAGTGGCCCCTCGAGGGCTGGGTGATGGGTCGCGCCCACCGCTGTATCCCTGCGCACAGCCTGGGCCTGGCAGGGAGGGGGCTCTGGAGACAAGGCTGAGCCCCCCTCTACTTGGTCCCCTCCTCCTTCCCGGGACCCCTGCACCCGCACCTCCGTGGGCGCCTGGTGATGCCCACACGGAATCGCCTCCGTGGGCAAGCAGTGGCACCTGGGCATAGCCTGGGCGGCCATGAGGAACCAGCCCAGCCTCGGACAGGAAGGTTTAAAGGGAGCAGACAGGTCCAAAGAGAGGCAGCGGCACCCCGGGCAGGACCGCTGGCTCTGGCCTCCCAAGCCTGAAGTTCTGTGCGTTTCACCCCAGGGCCCGGGGGACGGTGGGAAGTGTCTGTTGGTCGAACGCTCTGAAACCGGCCCGGGCTCTGCTGCGGGACCAGCAGGGTTTGGAAAAACAGGACCTTGGGGGCTGCCGGGGCTGCGGTCCGGGTCCGGGTCCAGCCCTATTGGTACCTGGACGAGTAGTACTCCTCCTCCAGCTCGTAGAGGTCGATGGAGACCTCGTCCCGCAGGGCGGTGAGCTTGCGGTCGCACTCCTCCTGCAGCGCCCGGAGCTGCTGGTTGCGCTGGTCGATGGCCTCGTTCACCGACGGGAAGTCGTTCAGGATCAGGAATTGCTTGAGGTCGGACACCAGCTTCATCAGGGACTCACCGGCTCGGACCTGTGGTGACAGCCAGGGCAGGCCGGTGAGGGCGGGACAGCACCGTCTCCCTGGGCTGGATGCCGGCAAGCCATGGCCTCAGTTTCCTCATCTGCAAAGTGGGGCTATGGCACTGACCTTCACAGGGCCACTGTGAGAAGCGAGAGGACCAGGAGGTAAGCTACGGGAGGACAGGGTCCCCAGCGCCCTGCCCCCCCCACCCCCCACTGCAGCCCAGGGGAGAGGCAGGTGCCCTCAGCTCCCAGCCCCGACCCCGTGTGGCCCCTGGCTCTGAGCTGGTGGTGTGATTGCCAATCACACAGGTTGTGCAAGCACATTCTGCCTCTCAAAACCCCAGGCCACAGGTGGAACTGCTACCCTTTAGCCGCCTGCCCCTCCTCGGGCAGCTCCCCTGCCAGCTGGGCGATCCTGTGGGAACTTGTCCTGTTTCCATCCGTGGGCACACACCCACGGAAATGATTCACGTGCTTGTTCTGTGACGTCGGAAGGGACCAAACGCAGATCCCGCTTCACTCAGAACTCGCCTCTGCTCTCGTGACGAATGTCAGGGAACTTTCTCGTCAACAGGGAAGAGCGGCCCCTTTCCGAGCGCCGCACAGCACACTGGGACCAGCGAGGCCGGGTCCCTGCCCGCACCTCCCATGCCACCACAGACAGCCCTCCTCCCAGGAGACCCCACTGGGACCCCAGGGCCGGAGCCCGGACGGGCCTTGCAGCGGGTGACTTACGATGTTGGAGGCTCGCACGTGCATCTCGTAATTGTCCTGCTCGCCTTGGGTGGCCCTGGACACCTGGGTCTCATCCTCAATCTAGGACAGAGAGGGAACCCAGTTAGCCGGCGCCGGCGGCCCACACACTCCGCATCCTGCCCGCCGCCTGCTTTCCACAGCGGCACTGCCACCCAGACCCCTCGACAGTCGGCTTCCCTCTTCCCTCTTGTTCTGCGTCTAGACAGGTGGGCGCCCGCGCTGACTGCTGTGCCAGGTGCGGGGAGGGCTGGCCAGGCCTCGTGGGGTCTGGGGCCTGGAGCCCTGCTCAGTGCGGACAGTGTCGCCAGCTCAGGCGCTCAGTCAATGGAACAGGTCAGTCAAGAGAGTGATTTTTTAAAAATACCTTTTTATTGATTTCAGAGAGAGAGGAAGGGGGAGGGAGAGAGAGAAACATCCATCTGTGGCCCCTCACACACACCCTGATGGGGGACCAAACCCCACCACCCGGGCATGTGCCTTGACCACACAGGACGATGCTCCCACGGAGCCACCCTGGCCAGGGCAACAAGGACCTTTTAAAAAAATAAAAATAAAAAAAATATATATATTATTGATTTTTTACAGAGAGGAAGGGAGGATGGTTAGAAACATCGAGAGAGAAACATCAATAAGCTGCCTCCTGCACACCCCCCACTGGGGATGTGCCCGCAACCAAGGTACATGCCCTTGACCGGAATCGAACCTGGGACCCTTCAGTCCGCAGGCCGATGCTCTAGCCACTGAGCCAAGCCGGCTAGAGCAACAAGGACCTTTTTAAAGTGACCACTTACTGACCACTTCCTGGGTGCCAGGCACCATGTTAAGCCCTTGACCATCAGCATCTTACAAAATTCTCAGCCCTGGCTGGTCTGGCTCAGTGGAGAGAGCATCGGCCCTCCGACCGAAGAGTCCTGGGTTCCATTCCAGTCAATCCGGAGGCAACCAATCAATGTGTCTCTCACATTGATGTTTCTCTCTCTCTCTCTCTCTCTCTCTCTCTCTCTCTCCCCCTTCCACTCTCTCTAAAAACCAATGGGAAAATACCCTCAGGTGAGAAAAAAATAAGTAAAATAAAATCATGTAAATTTGAAAAATTCCTCACAGAAGCCTGGACAGCCTTCCGAGATTGCAGGTGGGCAAGCCTGAGGCCGGACAGGGCAGGGAGCCTGCTCCGTGTGTCTCGGACGGTAAATGCGGGAGCCTGCCCGCTCGGCCTGCCTTGTTGCCAGTCCAGGGCATTAGCTGCCCCATCCATCCACCCGGACAGGGCTTCCCAGGGGCGTTGCCAGGGTACGGGCTGGCGTCAGGGGTGGGAGCCAGACCTCCTGGGCTCCAACCCTGGCTCTGCCGGTTACGAGCAGAAGGGTCTTGGGCAAGTTTTCCAGCCGATCCAGCCGTCTGAGCCAACGCTGACGGCTCACCCCCCTCGGGGGCTTCCCCAGCTCCTCTTCCTGACGCCACTCACTCGAAACAGCTACCATGTTGGGGTCCCTGCCAGGCCCCGAGGCAACCACTTTACACAGGTCAACTAACTCATCCAGGGCCCTATGGCTGGGACGCCAAAGCACTGAGAAGCCAAGTCCCTGTCCAAGCCTCCGCTAGGCATGCCGCTGGCGCCGAGTTGGCATTTGAATGGTCCCTACAGCTGCCTCACCGGACCGGTAATTAGCTGGTTTGTCTGCTGACCTGTCATCGTCCACCCCCTGGTGCCCCCCAAATGTTCTCGGCATGGGGGCAAGGGCCCCGGC